TGTCCCGGGCGGCCCAGTCGAAGAAGAGCACGATCACCGTGGTGTTGTCCGCATGCCTCTTCTCCGCTGCCCGCTTGCACAGCGTGTCGGCGATCTCCTCGGCCTTGGCCCCACCAATGCGCATCCTAGCCACCTCTTCCAGAGCCTTTGGGAGCGAGCCGTCAGGCTACACTTTGCGTGGTCAACAATGCAAAGAATTTGGGTACCTGTTGGTCGCTGTACTGGTCCCAGAGGCCGTCGGAGGCCAGGATGAGGAACTTGTCCTGCGGCGAGAGGTCGATGCTATGCACAGTGGGCTCGGCGCTCACGGTGTCGTGCTTCTCCTGTACAGATCCGACACAGCTCCGGTTTGCATGTGCTTCACTCTCATCGTCGAGTATGAAAGGACCGAATGGGAACGCACCTGGTTGTATGGAGCCTTGAAGTCAAAGTCACCCAGGGCTCGCGTCATGTTGAGGCTGTGCCCCGGCGCATAGACTCGGTTGCCCTTGGCCGGCACGCCCAATTGTGCAATCCTATCGTTCGTTCGATCATTAGCAATTATCAGCTCAGCCGGTGCCTTGACCTAGCGGCAGAAAGGACGAGGCAGTAGTTGAGTGCGCACCGCTCGTACTCCTTGGGGTCCTTGAGGTTGTGGTCGCGCGACATTCGGATTGGAACGAGGCCGCTGCCCTCGTCCCTCGCCAGCACGCTTCGAGAGTCGCCCACGTTGGCAACGAACAGCCGGTGCTTGTCGACCACCAGGGCCACAGTGGCGGTCGTGCCTCCCCGGCCCTCTCCCCGCTGCTCCAGAATTTCTGGCCAACACACACCACGCGAGTGACCTGACCGCACGCACGCACACCTCGAAACCCGAACACACGTGTGCGGTCGCTACCTTTCATGGCCTGGTTCTCTTGCAGGAAGCCCTGGAAGAGCGCCCGGCCGTAGTCACCCCCGCCAAACTCTGGGCTCTCCAGAATGTAGGAATGCATGTTGTCCTTGGAATGCTTCGAGTAGGCGTCTAACACGATCAACACTGGCTAAATTGAAAAAAAGAAAAAGAGAGCGAGAGAAAGAGAGAAAGAGAAAGGAGTGGAGAAGAGGGTACTTACCAGTCCCGTGACCATCGAAGACAGAGTAGAGGGCGTAGCCCTTATCGGCGTAGGTCTGATCGGAAATGCAGAACTGGTCCTCCTGATGATCCCGGTCGCCTTGTCGGCGAGCATAGCCTCTGCAGTTAGGAGAAGAAGAATGAACAACACACTGAGCTAAGGCTGACTGCGGCTGAGTCACTCAGCTGAGGCCACAGGTGGCACCTTTCGATTTGTGCGACTTCCATTGTGTTGGTGCGTGTTTGCTGTGTTGTGTGATAGTACTTACTGTTCTGCTTGTCTTTTTGAAGGAAGAGCCTCAGCCCGGTGAAGGGCAGGAGGTCGCCAGGCTGTGCGGTGCTCCTTTTGAGCGGTATTTCACTCGACCAACCCAGGCAAACCACAACTAAACGACGAACCAATCAAAAAGCAAACGAATTTGTGGATTCCTTGAATTCCAGAGGGGACCCAGAACCAAAGACACAACAACAGATGGCACAGCTCAACAAGGCAGCGCTGGCCGAGCACTGGGCAAAGAACTTCTTTTCTGGCAACGTAGAGTCCAAGAGCGAGGAATGGACGTATCGCACGGGCACCCTCGCCTGCATAAAAGGTGTGGTCTCATTTTATTTTTATATCATCTTGTAAATGCTATTTACTACTTTATTACTTTATTTTTTACAGTTGTTTATCTTTTGAAAATAACTTTCTTTGCTGCAGGCTTTAGGGCCAACGTTTCGTTTTCTTGGGACGGGTCGGAGCTGCTGCCCCAGGGCGGCACTGGCAATCAGTTCGGTCGTGGCGTCTGGGACGGCACCACAGGTACTGCCTGTGCACGCTGTGCGCGGAACGGACTCGTCGCGTGTGGGACTGTGCTGACTTGGCCGTTAGGGTGGTTGGTGAGGAATGTCGAGGATTGGAGTGAGGATGAGAAAGGGAGATGATGACGATGATGATGATAAAGGGGAGCCCAGTGGAGGTCTCCGTCACCGACCAGTACTGACTGCTGCGTTCTGAGCTGACATTTCTTCTCTCTCTCTCTCCGCTATTTGGTCACATCAACAGCCCAGTGGTACTTTCCGCAGGAGTCGTCCGCCTTCTGGACCATCAGCTGGGACCGGGCTCGCAACTTCACCTGCTCCCACAGTTCGCGCCTTCTTCTTCTTCGCCATGCGCCGTGATCTGCGCTGTGACTAATAGATGACCGTAAATGTGGCAGTCGCGTGGAAGGAGCCCATTCACTGGGTCTACGACGAACCGGCGCTCAAGATCGCCGAGAGCGTGTCGGCCGAGGTGCGCAACAAGGAGGGACTCGACACCGACTTCCTGAAACAGGGCGGCGACGTGCCCCTGCCCGTGTTCCTCTTCGCCGCCATGTTCCGGCGCACGCTGTGGCTCTACGAGGACAAGCTCGAGCGCAACCGACGCAGCTACTCGCGTTGCGGCAAGTTCTGCGGCGCTGGCGGCAACGTCACGCCCCTCCTGTGCGCGTCATGCACGTCCGAGCTCGGCGGCAAGTGCTTCGTGTGCGGCGGCGGCCAGCGCTCGCCCTCGATTCAGGGCCGCCTGTGCAAGATGTGCCAGATCAAGAAGCTCTTCTGCGTGCGGTGCGCCGACAAGGTGGTCCCGGGCAGTGGCACGACGACGGCGCTCATGTGCGGCACCCCGTGCGGTCTGGGCAAAGACGTGGAGAACTGCTGCCGCCTCAAGTGCGACTCGCACAACATCTGAACGTCGCCGTAATGCCTGGTTGGCCGACAGATAAAAATTGTTTTCTAATTTGTATTCTAATTTCTTATTTTTACTTGAAGTCACACGGGTCCTTTGTGGATTGCACAACTTCAACCTTTTTTGGTTGCCTAAAAGATCTCGTCTCGTTCCATCTTGTTGCAGATCCTCACCTTGCTGCAGCCGTGACGTACGCACATCTCGACATTTTTACATTACTCTTCCATCTGTATTCGATCGATTGATTGATGATCCACAGATTTGGGGCTACGAGGTGCAAGACCTGAGGCAAACGAAAAAGAGCCACCATGGCAGCACTCTCAGCGACCATGCAGGAGCTGCAGCGCCGCAAGGCCCAACGGTCGTTCCTCAAGAACTTCGACCCCCTGCTACCCGCCTGACCCTGCCCACCGCCCCGATGCCATCCTTTCACGCAGGTGCGTTCGTCGTCCTCATCACCTTCTTCTTCTTCTTCCTGCCCGTGCTTGAGTTGGTGCGACATCGTGATGATGGTTGGCCTCACCTTCGCCTCTCTTACGTACTTGAACACATCCCATCATATACACAGCCTGAGCAGCGACTGGACGATGCTCACGAGGATGGGCAGCGACGACGAGCAGTCCTTCCAGACGCCCGCCGAGAAGGAGAGCGCCAGGCGGATGGCCGAGGCGATGGTCCATTTCCGCGAAGTTCTTGCCCAGCCCACCATCGACATCGGTTCACACACCTCCCCGTGCTCTCGCTCTCATGTCGCGACATGTGTACAGTTCATGGGTTTGTAGGCTTACTTGCGCCGCAGATAAGCTCAAGCACCTCAGCCACTCGGGAGTGCCAGGCAAGATAAGGCCTGCCATCTGGCCGCTGCTTCTGGTATAACCGTTCTATACAAACGTTTGTCGTGTGCGTGTCGTGTCATTGTGTGCGTGTGCGGTGCTGCGTGTGCGTGTGTTGCTCATTCTCTTTTTTGTTTCCCCATTGTTGTAGGGTTATTGGCCAACCCGATACGGCGCGCGCAAGGAAACGGTACACAAGAAGCGGGAAGAGTATCGACGGCTTCTCGCGCAGCACCTGAAGAACGAGAAGGACATGAACCAAGAACAAAGGAAACTGTGGCATCAGGTAAGTGCACACCTCAGTCACCCAACCTCGCTCTCTACGTTCCTCACCACCTGGTTCCCCTTCGCCAGGTCAAGATTGATGTTCCGCGTACGACGCCCAAGGGCTTCATGCTCGTCTTTCACCACAAACGCATTCAGAGGGTATGACAAAACAAATCTTCAAAGACTTGAAAAAACAAAATAATAACAAGTTATATAACTTATGCGCTTTGCTTTCTTGGCACCAGGCCCTCTCCAATATTCTCTACTTGTGGTCTATCTTGCGACCGGAAATCGACTACTTTCAGGGTCTGAACGATTTATGCGTGCCCTTCATACTCATCTTGCTCTCGCGCTACGTCGGTACGTGCAGCACACGCACACGCACCACCGCACACGCACCACCGCACACGCACACACGCACACACGCACTATCGGTTTCGAACCAAGACGTGATCTGTGCTGAAGATGTGCCTAACTTGGCTGCGCTGACGTGGTGCCTAACTTGGGTGCGGGAGATCAGGTGGCGATATCGACGCAATCAACGTGTACCAGCTCGACACACTGTCCAACGAGAATATGTTGGCTGTGGAGGCGGACACCTTCTGGTGCATGTCCCACTTCCTGGCCCACATCCAGGACAACTTTGTGATCAGCAACACCGGCATCGAGGCCATGATCAACAAAATGGTACACGACACGCACGGCACGCACGGCACGACACACGACACACAATTGGCAACGCACGACACGAGCCGTCACTTACGCAACATCCCGACAGGAGGAACTGGTGCGTATTCACGACGAGCCGCTGTACCGACACCTCAAGTCCGTCGGTATCGACTTCTTGATCTTTGCCATGCGGTGGGTCATCACTCTCCTGGTCCGCGAAATGCCCATCAAGAGTCTCATACGGTACAACAGAATCCTGTGTGTCGTGCGTCGTGCGCGTCTTGTGTGTCTTGTGTGTTGTGTGCGTCTTGTGTGTCTTGTGTGCGTCTTTTGTGTGTGCGTCTTGTATGTTGTGTATGTTGTGTTAAACCCAGAATTAGTTAACTAATTCGTGTTTTGTTGCTAACTTGTTATGTTGTGGTTTGTCTGCGCAGCCTGTGGGACAGCTACCTTTGCAAGACGGCGCAGATGGTGACCCTGTTCCACCTCTGCGTGTGCGCGGCCTTCCTCACCACCTGGAGCGACCGCCTGCGCAAATTCGACTTTTCCGAGGCCGTCATCTTCCTGCAGCACCTGGTACGTCTCGCCTATCATTGTAGACACATTCCTCGCCTTGGCTCACACATTCCTTCACATGTTGTCACTTACGCACGCGCACCACCGCACACGACATCGCACGACGACACACAGGAACGGGAAACGAAATATTGGAGCGACCTGGACATCGACAAGCTGATCGCGCGCGCCAATGTGGTGATGGCCGAAGAGCAGATCTACACCCACCTGTGCGTGGTGTGCAGCTCGATCATCATCGTGCTCATGCTCGTGCTGGTGATAGTCGTCTTCGTCGTCCTCCTGTGCCTCCTCGCGCTCACCCTCTCCGCCCGCGCCGCCGCCGCTGCCATCCAACGCTCGTCGCAAGAGATCCACCACATCATGGCTTCGGCATCGTTGTCGCCGTCCTCATCGTCATCATCATCGTCGCCGTTGTCTTTCTCCTCTTCTTTCTCTCCGCCGGCCTTAATGTCGGCGTCGCTGCCCTTCGCCTCGGCCTTCCCGCCCGTGGCATCACCGCTCCTACTCCCGCCTCCACGCATGGGCTCGTCGCTCCTGCTCGACGACTTTGACCTCGAGCTCGACTGACTGGACAACGAAGCATCTCGAGGCGAGGCGTAGATATGTTTGGTTTTGTTACTTTTGCGTTATTATTTATTAATGTAAATAAAATAATCCACATGTGGCTGTTGGGAGATGGCTTTATTTGTCTCTATTTCCTTTTTGAGGTATTCAACAATTAACGGAACAGCCAGCAGAACACACACCCGAGCCTTAAAACGATGGACGGGCAAGCGCTAACGATAGTGGTTCTGGGGATGGGAGGGGTGGGCAAAAGCGCCCTGACGCTGTCCTACGTCAAAAACCTCTTTGTGCGTGAATACGGCACGTACCCTGCACCTCACCCTCCCACCCTGCTCGTTGCTCATGTCTCCACCCAAAAACACCAGAGCCCACAATAGAAGACATTCATAGGTACATACCACTATTCTTTGATTATATTTTATGTAATTTCAACAAACAATACAATTAAAAATGCTACACCTTGTACGAGTAGGAAACAGGTGAGCGTGGACGACCAAGTGTCGGTCATTGACATCCTCGACACGGCCGGAACAGAAGACCACATGGTGATGCGCGATCAGTGGTTCAGGGCGGGTGATGGCTTTCTCTTGGTGTACAGCGTGGACGAGCCCAGTACGCTGCAGTATTTGTGCGAGCTACGAGTTCGAATGCTTGATTGCCTGGTTCGCCCACCTCCTCAAAAACGATAGCATATCGCTCGCATGATGATGTTCGGCATCGCCTCATCAATACCACCTCCAGGAAGTGGCAAGCGTGCCGATGGCGATTGCCGCGAACAAGACCGACTTGCCACCAGAGCTACACAGAGTCACGCTCGAGCAGGCCAAGACCGTGCTGGCCGAGTTCAACTGCCAGATCATTGAAACCAGCGCCAAGGTAGCCTCACCTCTCGTGCCCTGTATGGTGGTGTGGCCCTACGTATCAGTGCTGGTGGTAACTGTTTGCACACAGACGCAAACCAACGTCAGTCTTGCTTTTGCTGAGGCCATTCGGCGAGCACGCAAAGCGAGAAGCCAGGCTGCCTCATCGGACTCCAAAAAGAAAAGAACAGGCTGTCCTCTATTCTGACTCATGTACCCATTTTTCTGTGCGTTTGTTAATTACCGTCATTATCTGAGTCCGAGGAAGCTGGCGGGAGGT